CTTACTAGGCATACTAGAAACTTCCCGGCAGGTGTGTTGAGGCAAAACCCTCCAGGACAGAGTTTGGTGACCCCTGCATTAGAGAGTGTTGTAAACAGCACGAATGAATTCTCATTGGTCATACTCATCCGCATTTTTTTTTAATGATTATAAATAGATATTATAATACTATACACGCACACAGGGTAACTAACCCCAAAACAAGCCAAGGAATATTTATATACACATACATTAGACACGTGAATATCTCAAAATCACATCATATTTTAATATGAATACATTTGTAGAGTTCATAAACATGACCTGATAAAATGAAAGAAAAACAGCAACACCAGAGACAGCCTCTCCCACGGTGTGATCTCGGTTTATTATCGTTATTAATGTCGTTATGATGAGCTAACAACAGGCCCGACATAAGCAAATAAATAAAGTGGGTCTTCTTAGATCGTAAACTGAGTTAGATTAAATTAGTAGGCTGACGTAACGTAATCATCAGTTTGACAAACAGATCAATAATTACACGCGTCTGACAGGCCGTTGTTGATACAAACATGACATTTGCGATGAATTACCCAGAGAATGGTCCTCTTTAAACATCCATTTCATTTTTGCAGAGGTATTGCTCGAGGAGCGATCTGCTAATGAAAATATGTGATGATTTGAAGTCAATTAAACGTTGAAACTAAAAACGTCAACAATGTAACAGCAGCAGACGTTCGTCTTCAGACTCGCCGTAATGACGTCACCGCGTACGTCCTCTCGAGGTTACGTGACGGCAGGGCCGTACCATTCGGTCGGACTTCGTATATTTTACAGCAACTACACTTATTCTGTTGCCGAAACCAAGCGATCAAGCTAATCGTTGTTGTTTGTAAACATACTTTAGATCAATTCATATCTAATAATTCCTATGCACATACTTCGCACTAGGCCAAGTTTGGCGTTGTTGCTATGGTGAACAGATGACGCTGCGCCACCGCACTCAGTGCGCGTGTTGTTGGTTTGCTGGACTAACGTTTATTAATTAATCTGTAGACTACAAGTTTTGACTACTACGTTTCCCCCCCCCCCAAAGTGCAATATTATTGAACTGAAACAGCTTTTGTTTGATCGTTTACTGTATTTGGCAATGCTCACAGAATACACATGTGTTTAATGGTATTGTGGATTGTTAAATGGGATTTCGCTTGTATTAGCAACAATGGCTTTTTATGACGTTTACTCCCATCCCGCTTTAATAAGCTACAGAACACGCGTCTGCACGAGAGCGACGCTGTTTGTCTGTGTGGTGTTATGCCTCACGTATATTACACCTCTTCTGGTGGCTTACAGAAGTCAAGGTAAGCTGCGTTTTATTCCAAGCAAATTATTTCCAAACGTGTGATGACATGAAGCGACTGTGCTTTACGAACAGGCTTCTGGCTGAAGAGCAAGCGGTCGTTCAGTTCCAGTATGACATGATCGTGATCGGAGCAACAGACACCGCAGGGAGCTATATAGCATGGAGCACGTTTCCCACCTTTAATCGACTGATTGGAGATCATTTACGCATCCCGTCTGTCTCTGTGAGTACGAAACTGTGGAAATAAAACCTTTTTTGCAATAGTGAACATATTAAAGCTATTGAAAGCTGCACTGGTTTGTTCACTATTCAGGTCCAGGAGGAGGACAGAGACCAGGATGGGAAATCTGACTTCCTCGTGCTCCAGATCAACATCCCGCTCAAGCCAGAAGAACAGATGTTCGGCATCCAGCTCCTCCTTACCTTCTCATACCAGCTGTTTGTGTGTATTCAGTGCATTCCTATATGCCACAAATCAAATGCCTCACTCCTACCCATTCAGTATTAAAGGGGTCCTATTATGCTCTTTTACAAAGCCTTGATTTTGTTTTGGGGGTGTACTAGAACAGGCTCTCATACTATGTTGTTCGAAAAACACATTATTTTTCACATATTTTACATTATTACAACACCTCTCTCCCCAGTCTGGCATGAACGGCTCGAATATCAAATGAGTATCAAATGAGGGCCCGCCTTCTGAAATACGAAATGTGCTGTGATTGGTTAGCTGGGCCAGTGTGTGTTGTGATTGGTTAGCTGGGCCAGTGTGTGTTGTGATTGGTTAGCTGGGCCAGTGTGTGTTGTGATTTCTGTTAAATAAAATATCAGTTTTTGAAGTGGACTTTGAGCTTTGTAACTTTGCCGATCTTTTTTATGCTCAAACAGCAACATTACAGACTAACTAAAGTTGAAAAAGTGAAAAAGCATAATAGGACCCCTTTAATATCTTTCTCGCTCTCTCTCTGTCTGTTCCTCTGTATATGACTTATCCAGCTCTCTGTTTGTGTGTCTAACTGTCCACCTGTCTAGCGTATGTCTACGGTTGTGATGCAGACGCTTGCCTTTGTGCAGCATTCCTCGCCTGTCCCAGGATCTCAGCTGTTCGTCTGTGGAGACCTGAAGCTAAACCAGCGAACTCCTCTTCCACACCGAGGTTTACATAGTACCTACAATGTGAGTAAATCTAAACAAGCCCCAGTAGAACCAAGTTTATCAATGTTGTATGACCTACATAAAGATTAATGTGATGATTGCTGGAAACCAGTTTGACTTGCAGTGCTGAAGTGTTGTCAAAAGCATGTCAACAGGAAGATAATAGATATGAAATTCAGCAATGGAAATGATTTGGAACGTATTTGATGTGTGTGTAAATTGTGTGTTTGTTTGTCAGTAATTTCCAGAAATCACAAATTCATTTTAATTGGCTTTTTTTGTTTTATTCCATTGCTAGGTATCACTGATCGATGGATCCAGTCTGTTTGCGAGTACATATGACCTGCCCAACATCATTAGACTCTACCAGCAGAGAAACTGTAAGACAAAGCCAAACAAATGTGTTTTATCATTATTGTTATGAATATGTCCAGAACCTCTCTCGTCTTCCTTATTTGCGCCACATTGCTTTCAGAAAAAGCACTGATTTGTATTCACTCTAGGCTGTATTTTTCAGTAGCATCCTCTGTTATTTACTCTAGAACGTTCTGAGATTTTTTCCTGAGTTCATCACCTACTGCTGTATTTTCTGTTTCTTTCAGGTATTGAATATTGAAACCTTATTTGTCAATTCTCTGTCAAATGTCAATCCACCAATGATAAGCATTTATTATGTGGTTCTCAGGAATGTAGGCTTCATGTACTGCTAGGCTGCTTTTGTTTTAGCTGAAGTGCCACCTTCATTCCCAGCAGTCTCTCTGTCTCTCACACACAGTGACTACTTATCTCTCCGGCGTCATTCCCGTGTGGACGGTGGGCAGAGCTGCAAATTCTCCATTCCAGATCAGCGCCCAGATCAACTATCCAGTAGAGACTATTACATATCCTTTACATTTACGTGTGTCTTATATATATATATATATATATATATATATATATATATATATATATATATATATATATATATATATATATATATATATATA